TCCTTTAATATTTTATTTTTATAATTATTTATAACAGAAAAAAATAGAAAATAAAAATGCAAACTCTCTCTCTGTCTCTCTGACACCCCGTTCCCGAGTTCAATTTAAGGAGAGAAAAGAAAGGAAATTGGTGGAAGTGAGAGGAAAATAAGAGAAATTGGTGTTCCCGAGTTTCATTAAAGGAGGGAAGTGGAAGGAAATAGAGGGATCACTTTCCCTCCTAACTTTCCTTCCGATTTGGAAGGATTTGGAGAGAAAGAACACAATGTTTAACTTTCCTTCCATTTCTCTACAACTCGGAAACACAAAAGACAAATTTCTTTTCCTTTCTCTTCTTTTCTTTTCTCTCCTTAATTTCTTTTCTCTTCTCTTCTTTTCTTTGCTACAACTCGGGAACGAGGTGTCTGTCTGTCTGTCTGTCTGTCTGTCTCTCTCTCTCTCTCTCTCTCTCTCTCTCACCCCTATCCTCCATCTCCACAAAAAAAGTTGCTCATCTCCTTCACCACCACCAGCGATGGAGGGTTCCGGCGAAGCGGCTTCCGACGATTCAAGCTAGGGTTTCTGGCGACGTAGATCTGAGAAAGAGGTAAATGGCGAAGGACGAACTGAGAAGATAGTTGAACTCTGTCGAGTTTGCTAAAAATCAAGAAATCATTTGCAAAATCTAAGAAATCGTTTTTCCAACGAATAAGAAACCATCTGAAGGATGACATAGATCTATCGAAAATCGGACTCAATTACTCCCTCTTTCTATTTGCTCTTCGCCGAAACCATCATCACCACCGTCACCTTCGTCTTTTATCTTCTCATCCAATACCACCTTCATCTATTTTCTTCTCCGATAACAACATCCATCTGTGGCTAGGGCCATTGTGTCGGTCTGTTTGTCGCCGACGATGACGGTGACGTCTGTGACTCGATATAAACTCTTGTTTCCAGACATTTTCACCGCCTTTCAAAACCCTAACTTCATCTCTCATTCTCTAACGACAACACCCATTTCTCAGATATATGCCATGTTTGTGAAGTTTCATATCCAAATTAAAATGCTAGGTGCTCAACAGATCTTAAAGATGAAAACCCTAGTTTTGGATGAGAAAGATGGCGACACGAGGGTTTTAACGAAGCTAGGGTAAGGGTTTCTATCTGCAACGATGACGAAGTATATCAGAAAATCGATGAAACCGTTAAACCGGACCTCATCGATGGAGGTTTGGTGACACACTGATCATATCTCTTCTTTTCTGGCGAGGTGTCAATGTAGCAAAAGCCCCAGCGTCGCCACCCTTCTAGTTTTTCGAAACCCTAAGTTTTCAGATTTGTTTTCACCATCTCTCTCCCTCTTGACGAGATGTTGGTGCTCCGGTGATCGGCGATGTTTGTCCAATGGTGGCGACGTTTTTCTTTGTAATAGAAAGAGGGTGGGGAGGGTGTACTGTTTTAATTTTGTTTTTTTTATAAGTACAGAAATAAAAAAGAAAAAAACAAAAAATGAAAAATGAAAATCTCGAGGGTAAAATCGTCATTTAAAAAAAATTCATAACAAGCTGGATCAAACTCACAATAGACAAAATTGCAAGACTGGTCCTGTGGTATGTCAAAACTGGCAACTTTGGTCCAAAATGGGTTTGACTTGCAAGGATGGTCCAATAGTTTCGTTTTGTTGCGAGTTTAGTCCAATTTCTTATGAATTTTTTTATAATGACGGATTTGCCCCTTATTATTTTATTTTTCATTTTTCTTTTATTACAACAATTAAAAAACAATTAAAAATAAAATCTCTCACTCTTTTCTCTCTCTCTCTCTCTCTCTCATCTCTCGGCAATCGAACCCATCTCCATTACCTTCACCTGCAAATAGAAAGTGCTTTCTTCTTGAACACCATCTCTGTCTTTATCACTTTCACACCTCCAAATCAAACACCATCAATTTTCTTCTTGGTTCAAACCTACAAATCGAGAGTTTTCTTCTTGCTTCAGACTTGCAGATATAGAATCAAACAAAAGCCCATCACCACATGTTTATCGTTTATCTCTATCCCCTATTATGTTCATGATGTTTTCCAAAAAACATCCCACATTGAACTCTTTCTACACATTCCATAAATCTTAATCTTGTAAGACTTAACATTTGGAACAATATCTCTTTTTGGAATTTGATTGAACAAGTCTTGATTCAACATTGTTTTTAGAACAAAAGGCAAGAAGAAGAACAACCAAGGAGGCCACCGGAGCAGCCCCTTCGCTGTAACAATCGTCCAACAGTGACCCACAGAGGGTTGTCGGTCTCGACGGACCCCTTGCACCTCATCGCGATTTCCCTACCTCACCGGAGCTCCCTTCGATCTGCATTTCATTGAATCGCATACAACCACCCCAAATCAATACAAGAAACATATAGCAGGCAGTTGCAATTCAAATCGTTTCAAGAAAAAAAAACGGACACTAGCTAGCCTTATAACACTCAGATTGAAAATCAAAAATCTAGAAGGTGAAGTACGAAATCCATTTTAGTTTAAGAAACTTTGGGGAAGTGGAATTGCACCTGCTTCTTTTAATAATTATACTATTTTTTTGATATTGGCCCCCTAACAAATCTTCAATTTCACCTGAAAATCACAATCCTTTGAGAGGGTTCACTGAATGTCCGACTATCGACGCCACCACGCTGAAATCTGGGACGACAATCACCACGTCACAGTCGACCGGCAACTCTGTGGCCATGATTTCCGCAAATTGACGACGAGATTAAACAAAGGGATTGGATGCCGCCTTTATCGACGATTAAAACTTCACCCGAGTTCACTTCTTTTTCGTATTTAGCTTCGATGGTTTGTCCACGAATTTACAGGAAGACGGGATGGAATTACTTGGTGTATTTTTTTTTTTTTTTTTGGGGGGGGGGGGGGGAGAGAGAGAGAGAGAGAGAGAGAGAGAGAGAGAGAGATTTTCTTTTTTTATTTCTATAATAAAAAAAATTAAAAAAGGGAAAATACCAAGGGCAAATCCGTTATTATAAAAAGTTCTAACATTTTTGGATTAAACTCGCAACAAAACGAAATTATTGGACCATCCTTGCAAGCCAAACCCATTTTGAACCAAAATTACTAATTTTGACATACCACAAAAACTATTCTTGCAATTTTATCCTCACAATAAAACGAAAATTTTGAAACTTTCAAAAACTATTCTTAGCAATTTTATCCTCACAATAAAACGAAAATTTTGAAACTTTAATTCTAGTTCAAATATCTTTTGGACTAAAATAACAATTTTCAAACCAAACTTCATTTGTGCAGTTTTGTCAGTTTTGTCAATGTTAAGAAAGGAAAAACTACAATAAAGTCTCTACATATTGGCCTCATAATCGATTTAGTCCCTATATATTTTTTTTATTCAATTAAGTCCCAAATACCGGTAATCGTATTCAATTTAATCCTTTGACCCGGTCAACAGGTCATCCAACTTTCAAAAATTACATTTTTGGCCCAAATTTCAAAATTTATTACAAATTTGGTCCAAAATTTACACTTTTGGCCCGAATTTTATTTTTTTTTTACAAATTTGGTCCAAACTTTACCTTTTTTGCCCAAATTTTAGAATTTTATTATGAATTCATCCTAATTTTAGTTTTTTTTGCAACTTTTTTTTTTCAAAAAATTGTTTCTAATATGTTTTTTCTTTATAAAATCATATTTATACCAAAAAAATGTATTTTCACATAAAAATCTTATATTTTCTATATAAAACTTTTTTTAAAATTTTTTTTGTATATGAAGTATCTAGTTATAAAAATATGTATTTATTTAGTATATATATATATATATATATAAATTTGTTTTTATAAAAAAATGTATACACACCTATCACCTTTATATATATATATATATATATATATATATATATATATATATATATATATATATATGCACACAAATAGGTGTGTATCTATATTTTTTTATAAAATCGTGTTTGTTTATATTTTTTTTATAAAAACGTGTTTGAATAATTTTTTATATAATACGTGTTCGTATACATTTTATAAAAACGTGTTTAAATAAGTTTTTATATAATACGTGTTTGTATATATTTTATAAAATCGTGTTTGTATACATTTTATAAAATGTATACAAACACGTATTATATAAAAAAAATATTCAAACATGTTTTTATAAAAAAAATATAAACAAAAACGATTTTATAAAAAAAATAGATAAAATAGGTGTTTGTATACATTTTTTTTTCATAAAAACGGATTTCTATATATTTATATACTTAATAAATACTTATTTTTATAACTAAATATTTCATATACAAAAAACTTTTTGAAGAAAGTTTTTTTATAACTAAATATTTCATATACATACACGATTTAATAAAAAAAATATAGATACACACCTATTTGTGTGCATACATATATATATATATATATATATATATATATAAAGGTGATAGATGTGTATACATTTTTTTATAAAAACAAATTTATATATATTTATATACTAAATAAATACATATTTTTATAACTAGATATTTCATATACAAAAAACTTTTTAAAAAAAGTTTTATATAGAAAATATAAGATTTTTATGTGAAAATACATTTTTTTTGGTATAAATATGATTTTATAAAGAAAAAACATATTAGAAACAATTTTTTGAAAAAAAAAGTTGCAAAAAAACTAAAATTAGGATGAATTCATAATAAAATTCTAAAATTTGGGCAAAAAAGGTAAAGTTTGAACCAAATTTGTAAAAAAAAATTAAAATCCGGGCCAAAAGTGTAAATTTTGGATCAAATTTGTAATAAATTTTGAAATCTGGGCCAAAAATGTAATTTTTGAAAGTTGGATGACCTGTTGACCGGGTCAAAGGATTAAATTGAATACGATTACCGGTATTTGGGACTTAATTGAATAAAAAAAATATATAGAGACTAAATCGATTATGAGGCCAATATGTAGGGACTTTATTGTAGTTTTCCCGTTAAGAAAACATAAAAATGTCCCTTATAAAAAATGATATTTTAGGCCCAAGCCTTATAAACCTAGCCCGGTTATCCACGCTAAACCCGCCGATAGCCAACCCCCAAATTCAAGTACACATTAACACATTCATCTCCGGCCACCGCCACCGGCAACTCTTACACTCTCTTAAACCTCACACTGCTTCTTTCTCATCTCCCGACGCCGGACGACAAAGGTATGTTCTTCTTTTCATTCACTCTCTCCTCTGTATCCATATCAATGCTTACCCAATTCCCCTTCTTATCTCGGTTGCATGTTTCTCGATTATCTATATACCCTTCTAAAATCTGTATGCATCATGATTATAAAGCTTCTGATTATATGCTAGTTTAAGAAAACAGCTTTAACAGTTATGCGATCTGAAATCATAGAAGCCCTTAATGGTACGAGCTGAGCTACAAAATCTATGGAAGTAAAGTTTTCAATTTTTCTAGGATGAAATACAACATCTATGCTATTAAGCTATTTCATATGATTGAATTCTGTAACTTATCATATGCAGTTTTCCGAAATGATGTTTTCCAGAGGCGCAAAACAGTCTATTGAGATTCTTTGCAGGCGATTGAACTCCCCTATACATTCCCGCTATGGTTACTCTACACAAACATGTAGAGAAAACTTCGTTTCTAAACCAAATTATATCATCAATCATTGTGCACTTGTGAGAAAATATTCAAGTGAAGCTTCTTCGCCTTCAGATCATATGAGCCTTATAAAGAAACTAAGAGAAAGAACCAGTGCTCCTATCAAAGAAGTCAAGTCTGCTCTTATTGATTGCAACTGGGATTTGGGTAAACATACTTTTCTTGTTTCTTTTTTTTTTTTTCTTTATTTCCCATATTTCCTTTTGTTTTGTGTTTAATCATAGCATGGTGATTGATCGATTATGTTACAGATGCTGCTCAAAAGGAACTGAGAAAAAGGGGAATTGTTCTTGCATCAAAGAAATCATCTCGCACTGCAGCTGAGGGTTTGCTTGCTCTTGCACAGAATGATACAAAGGCTGCTGTTATTGAACTTAATTGTGAAACTGATTTTGTTGCAAGAAATGAAATATTTCAGTGCTTGGTTAGTGTCACTATAATTAGGTTTATGCTTTCATTTCAAGAATTAATCAAACATCTAGTGTGTTTTACTTTTTGCTATGAATTTAATGTGTCTGTTTTTTCTTTTAGGCCTTATCTTTGGCCAAGTTGGCATTATCTGCTGAAAGTTCAGGACAAGTATCTGGTGCCTTCCCTGTTGGACTCGAGAGTTTAGAGGTAAGAGGTTCAAAATCCTGGTTAATTATATTTTCCTTAAAGGTTTTTCTGGATTTAAATTGTTGTTGTAGCTTATTTTTATTGGAAAATGACACGTTGGCTCTATTATGCATTATGGCATTGCCCAATACGACGTCGTTTTGAACATAACACTTAGGGAGCAAGTTACGGACTGTTCATTGCCCTAAGTGTTTATAAAACGAATGTTGGTGCTCTAAAACGATTACAATCAGTCAATCACTAAGTTTCTTGCCCTAAACTCGCAAAACATATCCTATCCTCAGTAAGACAAAATGTCTTTTGTTACGTCGCCGCACCACAGTTGGTCCTTCGAAGATCGCCGTCACATACCGGCGAATGACTGGCGAGACACATGACATCCAGATCACTCTTCTCAAACATCAGTTTGAGGTTTTCTTTATTAGGGAGGAAGTCAATGCCGACTAGTGTCAGCTAAGGGAAAGTCTTCGTTAGGAGATGGATTTCATGAATCGTGAGGTATATGATATACGGGTTTCTATCATCCACCTTATGATTCATGGAATCCATCTCCAGATAAAGACTTTTACCTTAACTGACGTTGATCCACATTGACTTCCTCCCTGATAAGGGAAACCTCAAGCTGATGTTTGAGAAGAGTGATCAGTGAATTAGTCATTCACTGGTATGTGAAGGCGATCTTTGAAGGACTAGCTGTGGTGTGGTGATGTAACAGAAGGTTTAGTAGACTAAATGGACCAAGTTGCTCCCTAAGAGCATTAGGTGTGGGCAACAAGGTGCAACACCAAGTTGTGCTACCTCACATGCTACATAAGCAAGTGGTGTTATAACACCAAGTGGGGAAATGGACAACAAGATGCAACACCAACTTTTTAAAAATAAATATGTTTTCTTTTTTATTTTTACTTTTTCGTTTTTTTTTTCTTTTTGCATTTTTTTTAATCACTAACATGAATATATTTTTTATAAAAATTAAAATTAAAAAAAAGACATAATATTTAAAATCTAAAATTACGATTACAATTAGAAAAAAAACATAATTTTAAACCTAATATTATAACTAAAATATCATTCAGATTACTACTAAAACCACATAACATTCCTAATTAACCCAAATATTTCTTCCTAATTTGTTCCTTCATCGCTTGTAGCACCGCTAGATCAGCAGGCGCCAAACCCTTCTCGCTCGTCCGAAGAATTGACAGCTGATGTGTCATTAGTTCCCTCTCTTTTTGCTCCTACTTCTTCCGTGCTTGCCTTTCCAGGAACTCTAAATGACGATGTTTCAACTCAATTTTTCTTTTTTTTCTTTTATTAATAAATTGTGCTCGTCGAATTTCGCTCTCATTTCCGCCGCTTCTTTTGCTCTCGTCTCCACCTCCTCCGCATGTCTTGCAGCACGCCTCGCTTTGTCGCATCCGGGCGGTCGTCGTGGTGGGGATATCTCTTGGATATCATCCGGGATCTCATCGTCGTCGGTGTTTAGGTCGATGTTAGTCTGTGCATCCGACACGTCGACCGAGCTAGAATTACGAGACCTTTTGGATTGAACCTCTGACGATGTAGGCGTTTTATTCCACTTTGGATCCGCTCGCAACAATTCCCATGATTTTTCAAAATCGAAAACATGACCCATTTCAACCTGATATTGTTCCTTCGCAGATTTAAACAAATCAAAGTCGTTGGTTCTGCTTTGTTGTTGCGCCTCAAGCCGGTTGTAAATATCGTTGAATTTGCTGCACCGCTTAGTTATCATACACCATTTGCTGCTCAACATGTCATTGTTGCGATACAAATTATTCTTTAAAATAGTGTGAAACTTGTCGAGCACCGCCCCCCAATAAGCTTCTTTTTTCATTTCATTTCCGCGAAGTTAGTGTTTTGAAGTAGCACACCAAGCCGCAGTCAAAGCGTATTTCTCTTCCGGTGTCCACCATTGTGGAATGTCTTCATTTTCTGTTTTTACTGCTATTGATTTCCGTTTCCCTTTCTTACTACTTCCCGCTTCCACTTGAACTGAAGGTTGTGTTGTAGGCGATGGTTGGTTGGTTGTTTGTTGCATCGAACCAAAAATAGAGAAAAGATTTTGTTGTGAATTTGGGTCTTGACCAAATCGATTTTGTTGAACGTAAGGTGAGTTGGGAAGTTGCAGTGATGGTGAAGCGGGATTGAAAGCGGCGCCTTGGTATGAGATTTGTGATGAACCTTGAGACAATAAAAGGTTGAAATAATTTTCATACCCCGCAAATCCGAGAGGCGAGGTTGTGTTTGGGTTTGATGATGGAGGGGGGGTGTTTGGGTTTTGCTCCATTTTTTGAAATTTTAAAAGAAAATATGTGTATAAGATATAGAGAGAATGAGAAAAAGGTTTGTAAAAATTTGAAATAAAATGAGTATATATATATATATATATATATATATATATATATATATATATATACTAGTAGCGTACCCGCGCGATGCAGCGGACGACGGATAATTTAATTCTCGATATTAGTTGATTTTATTCAGACGACAAATAGTTTTTTTTTGACCTATTTGGACGGTTTTGACTGCTCTTTTTTTGTATCAGTTTTTTTCGATCCAATCTTTTTTTAAACGTCTTTCTTTTTAATATTGGTTTTTTCTAAATCAACTTGGTCTAGCAGTCTTTTTTGTTTGGTTATTTTGGTTCGAATTCAGGCTTTTTCTATTGGGTTTCATTTTTTTTTTTTTTTTTTTTTTTTTTTTTTTTTTTTTTTTTTTGTTCAACTGTTAGGAATTTTGAAGTTTATGTTTTCATTTGAGTTAAACCTGTTCATTTATATTCGTCTACTTTTGTATAATTGGAATAAAACTTTATAAACCGAGACATTGAATTTTAATTAACATTATTTTTGTGGTCGTATTACATTAACTTAAAAATTAACTATTCTAATGTATTGTGAAATTTTAAAAGAAATCTTAGTTAATTTATATAATTCGTTTACTTTTAAATAACAAAAATCAATCTACAGAAATATAATATTTTAAAATTTCGTTTTAAATTGAACATACTATTTTAAGATAACTTAATTAATTAATTACATCACGATAAAAATAATATTCCATAACATAAATTAATAATAATAAACTCCAAAAGAAGGGTTAATAATTTATTTATCCTATGTTTTTATTTGGAGTCTTTAAATATCTTTAACGTTTGTATTTTTAATGAAATTGAAATTAAATATGGATCATTTTTACATAAAAATAATAATATAGTATTTTAATATAAAATAATAACAAAAAATACAAATACAATTAAAAACGTAATGCAGAAAACTTTTTTTATTGAAAACATATAAAACACGATTATCAATAAAAAGTTGGTAATTGACATAAATTATACCTTTATGGAAAACCGAAAAGCCAAACTAATTAATTTATAATTTGTTTTCATTATTAGATTTTCTATTATTTTTTTTGGAAAACGGCAAATATTATAAAAAACCACATCAAGGAGATGTGGAGAACAAACAAACAGTACAAAAGAAAACGAAAAAATCAAACGAAGAACAACAGGGAAATTGAAAACACTTGCAAACAAAGGAAATGACTAATATTCAAAACTCTCCAATTCATTTTTTTGAATGAACCTCTATGCTTGCACCATATGAATGTTGTTTTTATTCTTTCCACCGTGTTCGCTGAAACTATTGAAATTTTTTCAAAAATCCTTTTGTTCCTATCCATCCATATGAACTACAAAGCTCCACATAATATTGCATTGAGCATACTTCTTTTATATTTACACTTCGACCACCGTGAGATGAACAGGAGCATATTATCCACCGAAAGAAATCTGTCACATCTAATCTCGCACCACACCATTATCGAATCCATTATTTCCTTTGCCACATGACAAGTTAACAAAATATGTTCACATGTCTCCTCCTCTGAATTGCATACACCACACATAGTATTTGGAATTATGATACCCTGTTTTTTTATTCCACAGCAGATGGAATTCTACCGAGTTTTGCTCTTTAGATGAAACATAGAATCTTAAAGGGAATCAACTAATCCCAAGCAAATGGTCCGTCGTTGACGATATATCCCGCCAATTCTATTCTCTCCCGTAACATGCAGACCATAAACCTGCCATCTCTTACAAAGTCAGATTCCCAACATCGATCTGTTGAATTCCACGACACAATTTCCTTTGGTTCAATGTTATATTGCATATAGCGATTTCGTGTTTTTATAATATTTTTCCATACCCCGGTGTTGGATCACATAGAGGATTCATCCGCTTTCAAGCGCCACATCTATTTGGCTAACAAAGAAATATTCGTAGCTTTAATGGACCCAAGCCCAATGCCTCCAACCTTCTTTGGTGCTATAATCTTATCCCATTTGACCCAATAAATACTTTTTTTGTTATGCTCTCTACACCAAATGAATTTCCTCCTAATTTTCTCAAGTGTGTCAAGAACGCCATTTGGGATTACAAATATAGACATCAAACTATTATCCGCCATAAAAACGAATGTGTTAATTAGTATCATAAATTCTTATTATTAGTTTCAAAAATATATTATCTTTTCATTTTACTTATCTTCTTGAGGTACCAAATTTTAGCAGTAGAAAAGTTGGGTTTCTTCTTTGGGTTTTTTCTTGAATTTAATAACTACCAACATTTCCTTAATTTACAACTTTTTTCCAAATACACGGTGTGTTTCAGATTTAACCATCAACATCTCAAGACAAAATTTCTGGAACATAATCCAAAACTCGATAAATAAAGAAAGTAAACTTTTATGCTCAAGAGTGAAACATGTTAATAAAAATCAACAAATATACAAAATAGTTATAAATTTTTTTATACAAGATCTATACAAAATGCAACATGGATTTATATACAAAACAATATGGCCCATCAACAATGACAAAATGTAGCATATGATATGAAATTATAATCATCTTTCTCAACTTCAATCACCCAAGTTTTATTCAAGTACAAAAAATATAATCATCTATTGTGATTATTAATAATAAAATACAAAAAATAAATTTGGATTAACATCAGAATCCCTTTTGTTGATAAATGAAGAGTTTTTTCAAGTTTTATTCAAAAAGCCAAAAAAAATAAAATAATTTTTTAAAACATTAAAAATTTATCAAAGCAACCATACACAACACGATTAAACAACTAAACCAATAACCTAACCATTAAATCAGCAAACAACCATAATCATTGTTAGAATGATATTTACAGTGAGCAGAAATATAATACATTTTTGTTAAAGATCTATAAAAATACTACATAGGTCAGAAATGTGTACAATACCCTCAAGTAATAATGATAATAAAGGAATCTTGTTGACTCCTATAGCATAGAACATTTAATCGATGATAATGGGCAAATAGGTAATTGTATCTTTAGAGGTAAATATTAAATAATAAATACCACCCTTAATCTAGATATAGCTATAAACGAGTGTTTCTTTTACTATTTATTGCATAAAGAACAACTTAATACAGAAAAGTTACAGTTACAAAGTTTTTCACAATTAGGGCTATTAAGCTATATATAGTTAGAGTCTCAAATTTTCTGTAGGATTTGAAGATCAATATTAATCATCCAAAATTAAACGGAGAAACAACAGTCCAAAATGCAATTAAAGAAGTCGCTGCAATGATGGGTGAAAACGTAAAACTGAGAAGGGGTTTCACAATGTCCATGTCAGCACATGGTGTAATGTCTACATATCTCCACACATGCCCACAACCTGGTAACATAACATTATATTATTATTTACAAATTTTGGAAACTTAAATGTTTTTTCAAGAAAATGATTAAATGTTTTTTTTTAAGGGTTGGGACGAATTGCGGGAATTTTGTCACTTGAAGTTGAAGATGAAAAAGTTTGTTTAGATAGTGTGCAACGTGTAGGTGCTGAGCTGGCTATGCATGTGGTGGCATCAAAGCCTTTAGTTTTAACAAAAGAACTTGTTTCTAATGATGTTGTTGAAAATGAACGTGAGATTCTCAAGTCACAGGTGATTTTATTTTTTTATTTATTGAAAAAATGTAACAGGTAATAAAAAAAAGATCAAACCAAAAATCAAGACTTTGTAATTTGGTTTTTTGTTTTTGAAAAAAAAAAAATGAAAAAGTTTAATGATTTTTGATCGGGTATTTTTATAATAGGCGGAAAGTTCTGGAAGGCCTCAGGCAGCGATAGAGAAGATGGTTGAAGGGAGATTAAGGAAATATTTTGAGGAAGTTGTTTTAATGGAGCAAAAATTCATTGTGAATGACACGATTAACGTGAAGGTATATTGTCATTTTTTTAATATGAAATAATAATAGTAATAATAAATATGATGGAGTTTTTTTAATTAAAGAAAAAGAAAATCTTGCAGACGCTATTAAGTGATCTATCAAAGGAAGTCGGCTCCCCTGTGAAAATTGGAAACTTTCTAAGAATGGAAGTTGGAGAAGGACTTCAAAGGTAAACATGAAGATTTTTGTCCTGTTTATGCAAAATATGTCAATTTTATATTTTTTCAATTTATGCGAAATATTTGTATTTTTCTGCTTTCACTTTGTAGAGCTGATGCACCCGAAGCTTTAGCTCAAGCTGCATGATGATGACGTGGCGTCTCGTTTAATCTTTATTCTCTTATCTGTTATGCTAACGTGCAGCTACAATTCGCACGGATTTTTGCTTCTAGAAACTGAGAATTTATATAATTTTTCAAAGTCTTTAATGTATGAATACCGATAAAACCTTAAACTTGAAATTTTGTTAGGAATTAAATTATAATATTCCGAATAACACTCTGCCATGTATTAACAAAAAAAGATTTACACTTTAATGAAACTTAAGGCTGGTCAACACATTGTTGTTGACCGGGTCAGCCAAATGGTCTAGAAAGTTCTGGAAGGGTCCAACACCCGTAACCAAACCCTGAATAAAATAACCCAAAATCGCCAACATCGCCAATCTACCATTCTTGATTTCCTTCAACTTCAACTCTTTCATTGACTTCTCATCTTTCCCAAACTCTAACGGGTTAAAAAACGGGCCGCCCGGGTATGCTGGGTCGCCCGACCCAGAAAACCCTTTTTCCAACCCTAGAAAGTATTGTTTCCCCATTGACCCAGGGTTATACCAATCTTGGAATCTTCGGTGCTCTGCGAAACCCATAAGTGCCATTTCCATGAAAAATAAGGTCCATGGGTCGGCCCAATAGCTGTAGGTGCCAGCTGGCGGGATGACACCAGTTTGGAACCACGGGAGGGCGGTTTCCGGTGGGATGAGACCGAGTTTCCCGAAAATCTCGGGTGCGATGGCTCCGGCTGCACCCAACATGGCGAACCGCCCGTTGATGACTTCACTGTAGGCTAGCCATTTGGGCTCGATGAACCCACCGGTTCTTTCTGGGTCTGAGAGCCCAAGTGGGTCGAACCCGAAATCACCACTGTATATTTTGAAGGTTTTAGGTAAAATAAAGATTGAAATTTTGAAATAGATTCTTAAATCTTGAGTAAATTACAAATTTTGTATGTGTTTTACTCATTTAGAAAATGACTTCAAATTTTGTACTAAACTTGAAATTTTGAGTAAAGCACAGGGACTATATCTGTAATGAAATACAAACTTTGGGACAAAACAGTGAGAGACATTTTCAAAATTTCGAGAATCCGAAACAATATGCAAACTTAAGGATGTTTTCAAGAAGATTTCAGAAAATTGATCAAACTTGCTATTTGAGAAAAGCACAAGGACCAAATTTGTAATTTTCTGTAGATTCTTTTTGAAATAGCAAGATTGAAGTAAAGTAGTACCTGCCGTCTAAGTAAGAAAGTGATTGTTTTGATGCAAACCAGAGTTGTCTGCCTGTTCCTTGCTGATATACAAACAAGTTGTCAAGTAATTATAAAATAGCAACGCACTTTTAATTTGTTAAGAAAAACTAATGTGATTTTATTTATTTTTCTATTATAGAATCCTACCTTTTTTTTTCTTTTTTTGTGGCGTTGTATTGTCAATGTTTTTTAAGGCGTTGTACTTTTTAAAATCTACTAAATTTTAGGATTGTATTTTCAATTATTTTTCTTATTACGACAGTATACTTTAGAAAGGCTGTCCAATTATCAAAGTGAAAATTTCTTTGTGTTTAAATGGCATTGATTTGGTATATATTTCAAGGTACTATGTTGTAATAAGAAGTGATGCTATAACAAACAAATCAACAAAAGCACATTTTACATTTTACGAAATCGCCTTAAGTGGGACAAGTCTTGAATATACATTATGACATTGATAGGTGTGTGTGTGTGTGTGTGTGTGTGAGAGAGAGAGAGAGAGAGAGAGAGAGAGAGAGAGAGACCTTGACAGGGGGAGAAGAGGCAGCTTTGACAAGAAAAGAGACTTTTCTTGATGGTGTTTGAAGTGGTTTTCCGGCCAATATTAGCCTGGTGGAGTCACCGGAGGAAGTAAGAGATGATGATGAAACAAGTGCTTGTGCTGCCATTTTCTTAATTTACTTCAAGTGTAATCGGGTTGAATCCAATGGCAAACCGATTAAATATGAAGAGGGGGTGCTTGAAAATTCATGGGTACCAATGAGGATTGGACATGTGACATGAGAGATTTCTTTTGTCCTTGTTGGACATCGTTTGACACGTGGATGGGGTAAGATTGGGTTACAAGATCTTGTTGATACGTGTAGTAATGTACTATGTTTGATTGGTCAATATTTCTAAGATGACGATGAGGGGAACCTCAATGTTTATCTACCGCCGACTTTTGTTATTTCTCAAAACCAACTAATAGTTTGTTTCATTAATAATCCAATTTATCATCAATTTAAATAACAATATGAAGCTTTCGAACTTTATTATGTGGTATTAAAAAATCAAGAATAAACAAAGAGTTACGATAAACCATGTTCCATGAAAGTAGTGTTTGGAGAGTAAAACTCATTCAGATGCAGTTCAAACAGCCAAAGATAGGGATGACTGTCCAGTCCATTATTTCAAAAGGTTCAAATTTTTTTTGGGCTATGTAATATTCATATATAATCATTAGTTTTTTTTTTTTTTTTTTTTTTTTTACATAAGATAAATTATAGGAAGCGAGAATGAGCCAAGTTTAAAGCTCGAATTTAATACCGTATAATTATCGTTATTCATAAACAAAAACAAAGTGGATATTTGCAACCAAAATCTGGAAAATCGAATAGACAAATTGTAAACTGTTGGCCTATGAATCAATTAAGAAATGACAAAATGAATTATTTGATCATGCCTTCTCAATTCTTAAGTTTTAATAGTTAGAATCTTATTGCATATAGAATCGTATTCACCGTTATTATTATTATAGCATCTGTAGAGGGAAGTTTTTCTGAATCCAAATTTCCGGTTTTAGCTTTTTAATGGTTTGATTCAATCAATTCTAGGTAAAAAAAAACCGGTTTCAACCGGTTGTACATAATATTGTTAAATTTGTAAAATTCTTTAAACTATCATAACTAATTTGTTTGAATATGAAATGACATTATAATCTTCTCAACATATGGTTTTACTCTTTATTTGTAAAATTCTTTAAACTATCATAACAATTTCACCTTATTTGGTTTACATATTCATGAAATTACAGTCCTCCGAAAAAAAATGTATCAAAACAGAAATATTTTCTTTTTTTCTGCATTTTGATGAATCCTAATTCATTCAAGAGTCAAGAAAACAACAAATAACTCATCTACAACATTGGATAGCAACTACTTTAACAGCTTGTACCCTATGCATTGCAAGTTGTGCAGTTGCAATCAGTCCAAAATCCAAAAAAAAAAAACCATGCTTAACGACCAGTTATCAGTCCACTCATTTCCCCCACCCCTAATCCTAGATGCCTTCAAGTGCCCAAATCACATTAAGTAAAAAATTATTAGAAGTTCATGGTTTTGACTTTTGAGTTTTCCTAATTTGATGATTTTTGTATAATTGTCCATGATTTTGAGTTTTCTGTTATAATGATTTTTTGTAAGACGATGCTTCAGTGTTGAATTTCTTCATTTTCACATGAAATGAGAGAAATGCTTGGTTCTTCACACATTAAATGTAATTGTTTTATAGTAGCATGTTATCATTATGATGAGATACCCATGGTATATACTTGCATTTTTCAGAACAATTTCACAATGAAAACAGAGGATGATATCTAAAACACTCATAATAGAGGATACCATTAGATCCAAAATTCACACTCAATTTCTGTTACAAACATAAACATACTTGAAAATATCCACGAGAGAGCTCTTCCATCATAAACCCTTCTTCAACGAGCTTCATACTGAACAACTGCAGCAGATAAGTTCGCAATTACATAATCAGCTCACATCAATGATCAATGCGTAATCAACCAAAAATCTAAACCTAATATCAAAAAAGAATCAATTTTTGAAGCTAGTTGTTTTCAAAATCATCGTGACATAAGAATCATGTGAGAGAGTTAATTACTTCGACGAGTGCGCTTCTTGTAAAGAATACGGTAACCACATTCTCGGCACTGAATCACATCACCGACCTTCAACGTATTCTCCTGTCCACAATCTGCATCGTGATTTTGTTCTTGTGAATGAAATCAGGAATTTTTATGCAGAAATTACGATATACGCAAACAGAATGTTGAAAGCATAACAAGAAAACTGACCTCCACATATGTAAGTGACCGGTTCTGGCTGTGGATCCATTGATTACTGCAAATCCATAAGGAAACAAGCATTACTAGGTATACATCGAGAGCATAACTATGGATTTTAAGCAACACTTCAAATACCTGCGATCGCTGGCGTTAGGAAACGATAATGGCGTAGGACGAACGAACGCTAGGGTTTTCGACAGGAGGGTTTTGTGAATTATGTGACGATTTTATTTGGGGCCTATATAGAGTAAATTACAAGAAGCGTCCCTGTGTTATTGTCAAATTTACGTGTTTGGCTATTAACTTTTATATTTTATTCGGTTTGTCTTTGTTTTATTTTTCTGTTATTGTTCTCGTCCCTAACCGTTTGAGACTAAAATACCCTTTTTTATTATAAAAACTATGGTTAAGTGGTTGAGTGTGGAATTTAGTAGGATGGGAGAGGTGCTAATTGTAAGCCTGGTGTGTTTATAATTGATGTCAGTTAATTTTATGAGTAAATGATTTATTTATCATGTTTATCTTGTCTACATCTTTTTTTTATAGTTTTTATGTTAAACTAAAAACAAAAAAGGGATAAATATCATGTTACAAAACAACTGATAATTTCTTTAAAAAAATAAATATTTTGACTAATGTGAAAAGTAATCGAAAATATAAGAATATTTTTACATATAAACAAAATATAAGATTTTTTTTTTTTTTTTTTTTTTTTTTTTTTTTTTTTGAATGATATAGATAAATGGTTATGTTTTCATCACCTTCAAATTATTATTTTATATCCCTATTTGCGTGAAATAAAAACAATTGTATGAAAAATACAACGATTCTCTCGCTGAGACATAGTTCTATCTGGATAGATTTCTCCTATAACCAGAATCTAACTAAAAGTTTGCATTATTATTGTAAGTGTTTAACCTTAAGTATTTGTTTATTTTTTATTAAGATAAGATATTAATAGGCCAAACATGATTTATTAAGCTAAAAATTTTGTAAATAATAATTAATAATAATATCACACGAATAAATGTCTCATGTTACAATTTACATGTCTTCAACTTTGATTCTACCCACTTCCATAACCGAAACACCAAAGAAAAACACACCGATCCCCCTCTTTCCAACAACTCGTTTTATTTTTTATAGTTCCTTTTATCAACAACGTTGCCTTATGTTACTCTTGTAAAAATAGTATTACAATAATTTATATGAAATTATGAATAATCTCAAAATAGAGTATGGTACCAATTTCCATACATTTTTTCTTGTAAAAGAAAGAAAAATTCAATTTTAGTTTTCATCCATTTGACGCACAAACAGCTATCCAATCAAAGGTCTAAAAAGCATTGCATAATGAAATACTATCGAAATAATTTCCATATAAAGCTTGGATTGAAAGGATAAGTTATGAAGCAAACAAATATGTTTCTAGTGTCTTACATTAAATCATTAAACCTACCTATAAAAGAGTCCACGTTTGCATGATTATTGTAAAGTAGTGCTATATTATAAGAAACAAAATAAAGTTGAAAAACAGATAAAAAGGCGATATATTGACCATATTCATATTCATATTCATATAACTAATAACTCCATCCATCCATCTTATCAATCAAACAACCACAGCTTTCATGAAAAGGGCAGTCCTTAACCTTCTTGTACCTGGAGAGGTTACATGAAACAAACATGGCAGAGGAACAAATTACAAAAAAGCCCTTTCAAGATATTTACTTTATAATTCTTTTATTTGATTTAAGTAACTTGTTTTTCTATATAGGTCAATTAAAAGTCGTTTGGTTTGCTAATTATGCATAACAAACATCATGTTTAAATGAATCATTCCATTCCATTCCATCATACCAAACAGATTTAAAAGTTTTAAAAAATAATTACCGAATTGGCAATGATTTCAACTTTGACCATGGTTTCTACTATGAGAGTGTCTCCCCACGAGCTTTCTACCAGATATTTGACGATCATCCTACAAAAACTCAATTAGCACTTCAAAAAAAAATAATCATATTTGTAATTTTTTTTTTTTTTTTTAAATTAAACAAAAAAAACCTTGTAAAGAGAAGCAGCAGATTCTGATTCAACAGTTTGATTGGTGTCAAGGGTTTGGAATCCATCAAGAGCATCTAGGGTTAGCTGCCACCCACAAAGAGCCAAACCACCACCACCACCACCACCACCACCGGTTGAAGTGTTGACAACACCAGCTGCAGCCACATTTCCATTCACCCATGGACAGAAAAAGTTATGATGCTTAATCGGATCAAACTCCACCCCTTCTTCAAAGTTGCTTTCTCCATTTGGTGGCCCTAAAAAAATTAAACACAAACACAAGGGTAAAATCGTCATTTTACTCGGACTTAACAAACACAAACAGAGAATTGGAATTGGAATTGGACATACCGATTCCATTTGTGAATCCACATTCATCAGTAGGAGATGACTTTCCCGCTTGTGTCACCTCATCTTTAGAGGCTTCAAATCCAGAACACAAAACCGCATTACAAGAAAGCGAAATATTATTATTAACATTATTATTATCATTATTATTATTACTAGTCTTCTGATTCTCTCCACTTTCAACAGATTCTGCTTTCGTGGACCCCACAACCTTCGACCCACTATCCGCCCTCGACATCTGTTCCATGTCATTCTCTTCGGGAACAAAATCCGCAGCAAATTCCCCATTTTGCCCTTGGTTCTCAGTGACTTCAGCCACGGGCTCCATATCCCCAACCACACTCTCCGCCCTATTATGAACAGAAGCATCCACCCCGCCATGAATCTCCGCCTCATGACTCGCCCCCATTCCCACACTCCCCCCACTTATTCCAAAACTAACCCCACCATGAACCTCCCTCCCCCTATTCTCATTCTCCGTATTTAAAACCTCATCATCATCATTTGTACTACTCACCCCCTGCCCCCTCACCATACCTACACACGTGCTCTGTTGCACCTGATTATTACTCAAATTCAAATCCGAATAATTATTATTCTCATTCAAATCCGGACTTTTGAAATTAAAACTCACATCCTCATTATCATTATCAATATCAATATCAATATCGATATTTCCAGGATGATTCTCTACACTTTCCATTGAATCATTATCCTCGTTTTGGTAAACCGTGTCCATTGCTATAACAGATGAAGCCCGAGTTGAATTTCCAACATTTTGTTGTTGCTGGTGGGGCCCATCAACCTGAGTGGGTCCCACATTGGATTCGCGTACACGTTTGTGTTTACTGTCATTGACTTCATCTCCATCTCGGTCAATCACAACACCTTCCACACTGTCCGCTTGCATCGCGACATGTGGCGGCCGATCCACGGTGGATCCGCCTTCGTCAAGGTTTCTTTTTCGGGTCGTGCTGGGCCCGCGGGATTCGTATGAAGCTGCCCGATCACCGACCTCGCTGCCCGAAGGCTGCCCGATGGCTAAGTCTTTACCGATGTTATTCGGATCTTGGTATTGTTCGGATAGTATAGTTTTTGTTGAGATTGAGAATCCACCTCCCATTGTGAGATCTAAGTCAACTCCTCCGATGTTTGACATTGACTTACCTTCACCTGTGGCTGCCACGTCATCAAGGTCAGCTACCCATCCGTTGATTCCACTTGCTGCGCTTACGCCACGTGTCAGTGTCATTTTCTTGCTTGTTTCGGGAACATCGGTTGTGTTGGGGGTGAATCGGGAAGGGCGGGTGATGGTCAAAAAGTCAAAGATTCTGACTGTGGCGCCACATAAGCTGCAGTCTAAGAGAGGGGATCTTGATGTGGGAGTGGGGCCCACAAGGGGGGTTTTGAAAGAGTATCCGTTTCTAGCTGATTGAGCAGAATGTTCTTCACAGTCTTGAATATTTGGAACCCAAATTGGCTCCCATCCACAAAGGCTTATCAACTTCTGAGCCTAAACAAAGATTTCTCATTTCAGATAAGGAAAAGTAAAAACATATTTAGTTAAAAAAAAAAAAATGGAGTTGTTTGTGTATGAAACTTACACGTGAATATATGCATAAGGCGTCTTCTTTATTATTCTCAGAACCAGATGCAATGTCTGCTTTACAACCAGATTCACCAGGGGTGAAAGTGTATGATTGAACCAAAAATCGGTCAATTTCAGGGCCTCTAGAAACCCTCATTTCATCAAGTGTGGAAGAAGCAACAATTGGGAGGTAAAGAAATTGGAATAATCCATCACAACGATCTTTGTAGCCACCTATGAGAGCTGATGGAGGTGTAGGAGGAAACTGCACTAAGCTTTCAGCACAACTATTTCCTCTCCAAGGGCAAATTACTTTATGCCCTTCATCAAGTTGATTGGCAAACTCTTCTCCAAGATTCTCACCTATTAGGAACATACAGTTAATTATAGCAAATTTCAAGAATACAATACATGTAAGCCAAATTATAGTAGATTTCATTTCACCTTCTGTAGGAGTCCATGAATCTGGAGCAACGTATTTCAAGGTGGCACCACAAGATTCACATTCAATCTTATCAATATCCACATTCACCCAACCTCTTCTTGCACAGGCAAGAGAACTAGCAGTCTGTATGAGAGTCATTTGATCAATGAAATGATTGTAGAACATGTTGATAAAGGATAGAAAGGGAATTTTACAATTTACACAAACCTTAGGCTTTCCAAACCAATTTGCAGGCTTAAATGTAGACAATCGCCTTAAAAGATCACCCCTTTCCCATGGTCTACATGAAGGCTGAGATGAGCCAAGAACTGAACCACATGCACTTGCACTCAATGAAATCCACATGGGTTGTGAACCAATTCGAGATAGAGAACCTACTTTTGACCCCTGTCCTTGACCATGACCTAACCAATCTGTACTACCAGCATTAGTGGCAACAGCAGGTGATGATGCCCCAGCAGAACTGATAAGAATTATGGATGAATTCAATGTTCAATCAATCACTTTTGGTATGGAATTTGTAACTTGTAAGTAGTCTACAACAGCCATTAAAGTATTACGGATTATTAATCATATATTTCCTTGTTCATAGCATTCAAAGATTGACTAACGAATATCAAAATGCTTCTCCAATTTTGGAATCCCGGCTTTAAATTCCAAATAGACTTCAAACTTGAGTTCCAAATACGATAATTGAGATGCACCAGAACAATATTGATGCTTGGATTCATATCCCCAAATTGAATTGATTACGATGTATAGTACGGAGCGACGCTATTGGCTATCGAAGCTAAGTAAATTGATGTAAAGGAGGTTTTGAATCAGAAAACAAGACAATTTGTAGGTGGCAGAAGAACATGGAAATCTACCCCACCTTAAAATGAAGTGCAAAAAGCTACAGACTAGGGTTTTTTTCGTAATTCAACATATATTACATTTACAGCTATGTACGCGTATAGAAATGACGCGGCATTGAAGAACCCTAGCTATGATAGAAAAGAAAAAATCATATAAAAAGGTCTGGATGAGCATTAAATGTTGGATGATTGATTGAAGATTTAGGGTTCGGTTTACCTGGCAGCGGGGGTGGGAGGACGAGGAGACGAATTGCGGAAGAGTAATGGGTCTCCCGACGAGCTTATTCCTTCTTCCCTCATTTACTTTCTTCAGATTTTTGATGCTTGCTACTCTCTCTGTAGCTCTCTCTATCCCTCTCCTCAAACACACACACACACTCTCTCTCTGGGTGAGTGGGTCGTGGTCTCTTGCTCTGTTTTTTTTTCACTAAAATTGATGCTTTCTGTAATTTAAGATTGTTATAGGTCGTACGGCACGTGATTCGTGCGTGATTCTTTATTAAAAGGGATTTGACTTTTTAGAATGATTGTTATCTATCAACATTGGAAAAACACAATCCTTTCAAATTATATTTTTGGATTTAAGTATAGGATTTTCTAACCATTTAACGGTATCCTCTGATAAACAAATCTTTTAATTTGTTAAATATTATTTCCTGATTATTTTGAATTATTTTTTTATATATTAATTTATAAGTTTTTTTATTATATTAAATTTAATATAATATTTTAATTTAATAAATATAGTAACAAATAAATATTAATTTTATTAATTAACTTACATTTTAATTTCAAAATTTTTTAAATTAAAGTTCATTAGTTTATTCATTTATTTAATTATTTGTTTAAATTTAAAAGATAAAAAATAATTTCAGTATAATAACTTATTATTTTTCTTATTTTCTTATAAATTCAAAGTTTTTAAATATTTTGACATTTATATTTAGTTTTTTTTTAATTAACCTGTATAATACATAGGCCTCAGAACTAGTATAAGAAATATTAGTAACATGTTCAAATAAATGGAAAAACTTAATTAGTATATGTTATGGAACGACATGAATCAATTGGAAAGCAAAGTGTGATTGGATCTTCAAAAAAATTCGAACTACACCTACCATAGTGGTAGATATGGTAAAATTCATAGTCTTTACATGGATAAAACAAAGAAGAGTTAATTGTAATATTCGATGGGTCGAATGGTGTATTAATCATTTTCTCTATTTGTAACTTTCTCCTTTAAAACTTTGTAATTCCTCGTAGCATCTTGCTAGGGGCATGTTTTTGTATTGACTAATATGATTTGTCGATTTCACAAAAATAAATATAAGAAATATTATATATATAAAATCCCGTGGGGTTTTGGAACAGGAATCTTTAAGGTTTCGGAATTTGACCACAAAATTTTTTTCATTTACATTTTGACCCATAAAAAAAAAAAAAAAAACTCCTGATCCATGCAAAACATGGGCCATTTCCTAGTTAATAATAAATATTATCATAATTAAATATGAATTGTATTAATTATAAATAATATTATTATACTTAAATGTAAAATTAATTAATAATCTTCATAATAAATGTATTTTATATTTAATTATATAATAATATTTTTAATAATTAATATTTATTATACGTGTTCACATATTAGAAAATATCTTTTAAATATTGAGTTAAAGTTATTAAATCTTAATTGGGTTATTTTCATAAACACAATATTTAAACTTTTTTTGGATAGGATTATATTAAATTTAACCTCAAAAGCTAGATTGTATATTTTCGATTACTCATCTTGTATCTTTAGTTTTTATAGTATAACCAAGTCTTTCACATTCTAAATTTTATTTATTCAGCTCAAAATCAATCATTGTATATATCAAGATACATCATACAACATCATAACTTTCATCCAATCATCTCGGATTAGATAAATCATCGCATAGGTTGGTCTATTTGTGATCCTGTGACTTTAGATATATATGGTCACAATAATCTTGTTTTTTTTTTTTTTTTGGTTTTAACATAGCTTAGTTTTTAAGACTCAAGTTTCACCTCATCCAAATTCTATCCCACATAACACACCAACATGATATTAAAAATCAAACTTTTGTTTAGGCTTAAAAATCTCACATCCTTAAACATATTAACATATCAAATATTATTTAATTAAACTACATATTTTACATGATGAGAGTAATGTTTTAAAATCGGTTCAGACTGGTCAGTCGAACCAAGGAAAGAAATGACTCAAGTAGCACGGTTTTATGTTTATTTTAGAATCGAAATGAACGGACTGGTTTTTACAAAAAAAAAAAAAATCTTGTTGAACAAGTTAAATTGAATAAAAAACATGAAAATGAAATATTTTGCATAACAAACTCTGATGGATTTTTTCACATCTATTTAGATTTCTTAGAACAAAAACACATGATAAATGTTATGAGGTTTTTTTATGTGGTTGTTTTCGTCGAAAACTTTATTTTGTTTCCATATTATACTTTATTTTATTTTTTATATATATGAATTGATGCTAAACTTATGATTATGTGTTTTTTATTGTATTCAGGTTGATCTACAACTTGTTTTTACATGTATTTTTAATTTTAACTTGTGGACGTCAAACTCTTGATTTATGTATATATGTACGTACACGTGTAGGAAAATAGGAAAAAACATAAAAATTATAGAATTTGGGTTGGTCTAATAGTCAAACCAGGGCCCATGACATATTAAGTGTGACATAACGACTTTTTGAAGGTAAAGGCTATTTAACCCCATGACATTTTAAGTGTAACATAGCTTTTTGAAAATATAGTTCAATCTTGCAGATAGATCAAGTGTGTGTTCGGTAAAATTAGTTGGTAGCTGGTAGCTTGTAGCGGATAGTGGGTAGCTTGTAGCGTTTTGTTAAACGCTACATGAAGTAACATTTGAATTTGGAGCGTTTTATTTAAAGTAAAAGCTAGAAACATGTAGTGTCAAACAAAGCTTTCTGTTTAAAACGGAGCGTTTTGTCAAACGCTAGAAGCTCCTAAAAACTCCGTGCCGAACACGTCTCAAATGAAGTACCTCCGATTCTTGTGAGCAAATCCAAAATAGCAATGAATGTGTACCTAAATGCAAAATAAAGTTGAAAGATATAAAACTAGTTATAGAATAACTTTTGCTAATTTGACATTGACATGTCTTCCTAACTCCTTTCTTCGCTTAATGACTATAAGTCTGTGTGTCAAACAATAAATAAACAATATGGTATAAAAAAATATTTTTTTTCTTAATTTGAAAATAGATATTTATGATTCTAGATTTTTAGTTACAACATGTTTTATTTATTAAACAAAAGTTTGAAAAGTAGGAGAAGGCTCTACATGACTAGTGTATTGATCAAAATAGTTAATATCATAAAATACTATATATTGAGTTTTTTTTTTCTTCTTTTTCCAAATGAACTTTTTTTTTATAAAATTGATCTTATATTTTAAAGCTTTTAATATGGTCATTTTAACATATTTACCGATAATCTTTCAGTTTTAGACAATTTTTTTCAGAATATCCCTTAAGTTTTTCCCTAGAAAATCTCAAACTTCTTTTTTTCATCTTTATTTTTTTTTCTGGAAAAAAAATCCTTCACATTTGCCAATTTTTTTGGAATCTAGTTTCAGCTTTCAATTTCATGTTTTCTCCGATTAACAATTTTCAATCTTTGAAGTGGTTTGATCCATACTAATATTATTATATTCTTTTTAGACTCACTTTTTATTTCTGTTTAAACCAATTTCTTTTAGTTTTGACTCATAATCTCATGTTCTTCTCATTTCTGTTCTTAATGGTTTTCAACATTAGAATTTGAATCAAACATTTTTTTTTTTCAAAACAAAGAGAAATGCTACACTATCCAGTTGTGGGCGAAATGCATATCAAAATCAATTTTGCATGATGCTTAAAAATTATAGTAGATGAATAATAGATGTCTAAATTGGTTTGATATCTCATATTGTTTTAAAAATCAAACATAAAGATGGTTTTCAAATACCAATCCATGTTTAGAATCTAATCTAAGCTTTCATGTTTTCCTTGTTAGAAACATTGTCAAACCAGACTAAATAACTGTTATTCATCTGCTACAATCTTTGAGTATCATGCAAATAAAATTTGATATATATTTTGCCAACAATAATTAGACATAATATAATTCTCTTTGTTTTGAACAAAAAATCAAATATTTCTTTCAAATTTTAATGTTAAGCTAAAAAAAAAAATCATAAACAACAACAAAACATGATAAGTATGTGTTGAAATGAAAATGTTAGTTCAATATAAAAAGCTTGTCAACTGTGAATTTTTCGGGAAAAAGGTAGATGGTTTTTCCAAATAAATTTCTTTTCTCTACAACCAAAGAATTTTTACTAGTATTAAACATGCTACAAAGGCCACATTGAAAAAAAAAATGAAAATGCAAGGTTTTTTTAGATATTAAAAGTTAAAGTTTAATACGGAAAAATATCGATAGCTAAAATAGTTTACAATATTAACCGTAATCTAAATCATTAAAATTTACATTGAAAAGTCCTTAAGAAAATCCAAATACAATGTTTTGTTGCCATCATTTTATTTTTAGTTATCATATATATACTTGTTTCCAGTCTACCAATGTAATTTAATTTAAGGGATTCTAAAATAGATATGTATGCTAAAATTTGTTCTTAAACCCTAAACTCTAATGTAAAGTTGATATTTATATGGTTTTGACACTTTATAAGAAATTATAAACATTTTTGTTGCTCATCATATTTAATTCGTTCTTGGCAATCTTGTACCTTTTTGATAGGTTGCAGACACTTTTATATATATATATACCAGGAACACGTTTGTTAATTCTGTTGTCCTCAAATGAAAAAGAAAAAACTATATAAAAAAACACAAGTCAAATGAGTTGACTGTGTCACAAATCATCAAAAAATATATTTTTCGTGTGTACGTTTATAATTAAACAAATTGAATTATTATTACGAATGAAGTTTTTTTTAATCGTAATGTACCTTAAAATTGTTAAAAGGGATACATACAACAATGATCATTATAAATGTCACTATAGGTCTATCTAATGATTTTTTTTTTACCAAAATGACCATTGATACGAAAATAAATATTTCGAAGTAGCGTTCTGGATTTCTAAATCCACAACTTTCAAGACTTTTGATCAATAGTTTTTTATCTTTATTTTTCGTTATAAATGTTTAAGAGTGTTATTTAATGGTGTATGTACATTAATGGATCCACCTTCAAATATATTTAAATGCGTTATTTGTTTTCTGCTGTTGTAAGTGTTGAAGAGCATTTCGAACATCATACAAGTCTAAAATCTCGTATATGTCTATCTAACAATCTTGTATGTTGTTAAAATAATTGAAAGAATGATATCGATATTTAAAAATCCACCAATACTCACCTCGCACTACAATTCAAGAATCAAATACATAATTTGATAAACGGTTCAATGCTCAAAACAATGAATACATAGATGTAGTCTATGAAAACAACAATGTCTAACACTTAGTTGATTTTTTCTTAGCAATATGGTTGTTAAATTACAATCGATATTTTTAAGTTTAAGATTTATATGTGAAATAAAATAAATGCTTGTGACGATCGACCCAACTTGATCCTTTTACCTAAAGTAATGACTTTGAATATTTTTCTTCCTCTAATGCAACAAGCAAAGTACACATCTAAATGTCTAATTCCATATTTGCATAATAAATATTATCCAACATGATAAGACTATTTTTCATAGTACATTGTTTAATGGTCACCTTAGTGAGGACGTATTTGTAGATGCACCAAAATGTTTTTAAAGTCTAGGCATCGTAATGAAATGTACGAGCTTCATCCGAAGTAACCATTCAAGAACATAAATCTTTACTTATTAGAAGATCAAACCAATTGGCCTTGCACAAAATGAAGATGAATTCATGCATCATTAGAGCTAGTTGAAGCATTGTCATCTTATATGATCTAGAGTGTAATAGACACATTGATTATGTGCAATAGCTATCTTATGATATAAATGAGTTGGTTGGGGATCCTTTTCAATTTGAAAGGGCGAGCGATTCAAGTCTCATTAGTGATATATTTTTTGTTCCAAAAAAATTATATGCAATAACATTTCAACTTTGCAGAATGTCGATATAGTTTTATAAAATCATATTGTTATAAGATTTAAGATTACAATGTGTGGGAATCAAAGACTATATAAGATTGACATTAACATAAGAGTCTACTCTAGCCTAAGTACAAACATTGGTAAATCTTAAAATCAGTTCAAGATGTATATTTCAATTTTGGACTCATAACAGTATAAAGACATTAAAATAACGCATCTTATGATGTATATGTGGATCATTTAGAATTTTCTCCCGCTAAATGCTAATGACATGTTATATACTTTGCCCAATATTTAATAGGTTCAAGGCATCGTTGGTTGAATATAGATAAGTCATATGCCACTCTTTTTCATGAAGAATATTTTAGTACTCAAGAAGGAATGAATAAATATTCTCAGTTTACGTACATCTGGATGGTATTCATTTCAAACTCAAGTTATAGGCATGCTCATCATATTCTGAAAGGGTGTTCATTTCGACCAAACACTTCAACTACACGACTACTTGCTAACCCATATAATCATGGGTACTGAAGTCGAACTACTAAGTAACCCTTCACATGGGTGTGTTATTTTCTCTAATCCTAAATTAATAAGTGACCATTTTTGTGAATTTCCCCTCTTAAAAAAGTATTTTACAAGGATAAACAAAAGATGTTAATAGGTTTTAAAAAAAAAGTTACGAAGTTTGGTTTTGGTCGACTTCACTAGCAGCAAAACTTGCGGAAAAACACCACCACATTTAAACAATCTAACACGATACAAAAGTTATTTAACAAAGTCTAAAACATTTTACGTCCAAAACATTACTATTATATTTGGTAGTTGTTTTTTTTTCCCGCTCTATTCACATTGTATCTGTCTGTATATAATCTTATCTTCACTTTAACTTATCTCATCTCTGATAGTGACTTGATTTGGGTCCCTTCAATTCAAGATTTGTAGCGACATTGGCATGTTTTTCCACCTAAAATAATTACAAATTAATTACTTAACACACTTGGAATACTTTCAGATAAGAGATTTAATAAGCGAAAGTTTATTTGATTAAATTAAAAGTAAGGTACATTATTGTTGGTCCCTGTGAAATGACCATTTTGCCCTCATCTGGGACCAAACCGGTGACAGCAATAAATAAACCATCTTTTGGGAAACTATCACTATCACAAACGACCACCCATTTTGCAAACTTACTAAAAATTTGATTAATTATTCATATTTTTCCAACTACTAATAAATATGAACAACTTGTCAAAAAAAACTTATTCGCAAAAACCACATTCAAATATAGCAAATTTGTGGCGTCATAAATTCTTCATGAAGCAATTTCACAAAACGGATGATTATTTTGTGATGGTTTTTAAAAGGGTTAATGTCATAAAAGGGTAACAAACTTTTTTTTTTTTTTTTTTTTTTTTTAATTTTTTTTTACAGAACACCATAAGCCATTATTTTAAAAAAGTAGCATAAAAGGCACGCACAAACTATTTCTTTTTGTTATTAAAATGATGATATTTTGTGAATATTCTTACAACAATGGCATTTATAAATTATAACACCTCTAATTTTGGTCCATTTTAGTGATTAATTAACTAGCCTTGAAATAACTGTTAACAAAAAAACCCCAAAAGGTTTAGAAAAAGGATAGAAAATGGTTTTGCATAAAAAGAAAAAGATACACTACTTTTTTCTCCTTAGTTTGATTAGAAAAGCCAAAGGAACGCCTAAAAAAAGCGAGTAGAAGACAAATTAATTAATTACCAATGAGCCCTTTGTATTCTTTGAATAAAACCAATTGTTTTTGGTTTTACATTGGGATTTTGCAACATTAACCCATCCATGGCAGCTGAAGAGCCCATATCAGTTACCGACTTAAGTGATTCAGACAATCGATTAAGTAAATTCATCAATGCAATCACTTCATTTCTTTGTAACTGAAGCTGCAATAAGCCAATAATAATGAACAATTACTATTTCAAAAATAGAATTGAAAATAGGTTTGTGAAATTAAAACTCACATGTTGATTTGGGTGTTTTTCACTGTCGACAGAAAATAGGATCTTTAATGCTGTTCCAAGACCAAGAACTTGAAGCTTTCCCCATAGACGACATTTCTCACACCCTACACAATCCATAAGAGCACTGCAAAATATGTATTTGGTTATAAATTGTAATTTTAGGTAAAGTACAGGGGCCAGAATTGTAATTTACTCTAAAAATATGGATATTTTTTGGCTGAAAGGAATAAGGTAGAGTTGAGAGTGGAACCTGATGTTTCTAAACTGTTTTTGTATCTGTTGTTTTAATTCTGGACCAATTTGCCCTTGCCATAATTTAGCCTCATCAAAAGGAAGAGGGCATGCAGCTTGTAATTTGGGATTGTGAATTAGTTGTCGAATCAATGAATGGGCTTTCAGATCCTCCAAATGGTTTCCAGAGTCATACTCAGCTTCCTCTAAGTAAGGAGCAGCCTGTAATTTAACATATAAAAGACACAAAATATCATATATATGAAACTTTGTTACATAAATAAGTAAAATTAACCCTAGAAAATTTTGATATTCTTACCTTTGTCACAGCTCTTAGAACAAAGAGGAAAGTGAAGTATAGATTCTGCACACGTTCTGGATGTTTCAAGACTCGATCATGCATCAATTCAAGATTTGCACCCCACTGAATCATGAACAAAAAATACTATGAAATATATAATTCCAATATCACATGATGGAAATGAATATATTTTCAGGAGAAAAAACCTGATTGGTGGTTTCATCAAGAAGATAATCAGCAGCTATGTGGATAGAAATTGAGGAATGAAGACCAGATATCAACTTGTACAACACTTTCTTCTCTTGACAACTTTCTCCAGATGAATCTACACAATGAAGAGATTCCAAAAAGTCAATAGAAGGTAATTTCTGCAGTAATATTAACAATGGACTTACATTTTGGACAATTTTCTGAATATATAGCATCCCATATTCTTCTTGCTGAAGGACCTGTGTATCCTGTGTAACGTTCAGGGTTTAATTGAAGATTTACATATGTCATTTCATTATTATCAGTTTCATCATCATTAGTCCATGGATTATCTACTTCAGGCCAGCCTCTAAATACTTTAGTATCTAGTGTTCGATCAACAGCAGCTTCTGGCTTTCCTTCTTGACATATAAGATCATCTTTTGCAAGGCCATAGAGTAATGGTGGTCTTTTGAAAGGTTCAGGGAATTCATTTTCAGGACATTCACATACACTGCAATCACGGAGTCTGCACATGCCATCATCAGGCCAGAAAGGGCAATCACACCATAGCTTAACCTGTGAAAGATGTGTGAATACACATTAGGATCATCATTAGTCTTATAGAAAGAAGATAGATATGATTAGAAACAATACCTTAAAATATCTGAAGAAGGGAGTTGTAACAAGCTCTTGCAACAAGGGATGTAAAACAGCTTCGTTAACACTATCAACAGTCTCATAATCACAACAACAGTCCTCAACAATGCCTGTGTATTTATGAGAATCCTGCTCAATGAACAAGGGGGAAATATCAAATTAGTAATGCTTATCTAAATTCATATCCAAGCAATTCCAATTATCTCTAAATTACCTAAATTTTCACCAGTAACTAGTTTAGAAGATTGATCGCTTACCATCGCATCTAATTGGACTCGAATACAGGTTCTAACCTAGCGTACATTGTCTAATCCTTGTTTAATAACTTTCAATTGCAGATATAAAGTGTTAACATCGAACTCAATCAAGAGCTATGATTTCAACTACAAGCGACGATATAGAAGGAATTTAGGCATATATATACATAAGACTAAGCAGTGTCTCGAGAAGCACAATCTTCTTCTAAGCGTTTGAATCTCAAGGATTTCTATCATTTCACATCGAGAAGCTTCAAATAAAATTACGTGAGAGAGAGAGAGAGAGAGAGAGAGAGGGAGGGAGAGAAAACCTCAGAACAACGGCAGGGAGAACGAAGAAAAGAGAATCTCCGAGAATGCAGCCATGGAGTTAGAGATGTAGCAAGTAAAACTGCTATCAAAGCTCCAACAACTTTCCACCTCCATATCATGTTCTTACCACCGCCATTAGTAATTTTATTGCGTTTGATCTCTACCTCCACCATTAATTTCGCATACAACTCACCGATTTCACAAATTGTTAAAACCTCTGTCAAAAGAACCCTAATTTCTCCTTGAAAATTGATTTTGCGACCGGATCCGAATAAGTATTTGGGTATTTATTATATAAGATGAATGAAAGAGAGAAAAATCAAAGTTACTTAGTTGAACTGATTTGAAACGCCGACTCCATTACTTCTACACACAGATTTGAAAGAAGGAAATCAGTTGGGAAGTTGCCAAGATGGCGGTCTAAACCAGAGACCAAACTCTATAATATTATCTACTCGCCTTGGACACAATTGGATTACACGTGCAATTAAATATTTAGATAAAATATTAATTGCTAAATTAAATAAGTAATAATCACAAAAATATGACCATATTTAACAAATTCTTTTTATCAAATGATAATTGTGATTGTGAAATGATAAAAATAAGATGTTATTTTGAAATTTTAGGAGAGAAAGACACAACAATATTATTTTGTATTTTCAAATACATTCTTCACACCGAATAATAATAGGTAAATTAAATTTATTTGCTTGAGGTTAACTAAGTTCATTTCCTTCATCTTTTGTGTATATGTAAAATATTGTTTTGTTTTTTGGTGTTTAATTAATATTTGTTTCAAATTTGATTTTACAATGGTAGATGTATTTTATCAATTTAAATTGTTTATTTATATAGCGATCTAGTTGGACCATATTAATTTTTTTTTTTTTAAGTTTTATGTATATTGAATTATGGAAAAAATATATATATGAAGTCTTTAAAACATGTTACAATCTATATAAATCCAAAATTTCCATGCACAAATCCTCAAGTCATCCATATCTATAACTATTAAACTTTTTAAAATTTCGAGAACAATAAAGTAATTTCTGAAAATGCTTTGCAAAAGAATTACAAAATAAAGTAATCATGAAAATGCAATTTGGCAGAACTAAAAGCTTTTATATAAAACATGCAGGTATTTTATGATACTTTTAAAAATATAATTATATAAGTATGTAACAAAATCTCCTTTGTATTTAAGTGGAAAGCAAAAATTAAATACTTTTTTTTTCTTTTATATAAATATGAGCCAATTTTATTTACTGAGTATCTTGAGCGCGTGAAAGACTAGGTTGGTTTGACTTCCGCGTTTATCCATCCATTGACGCGCGACAATGTAATACATGTGACGTAGCTCAACCAATAGGAACAAACCGATTTTACAAAACCTGATGCACACGTCCCACAAGATTCTAACTCTTTTATTATTTTTTTTTTTTATGGAAATTTTCTTACTTTGCCATTAAAGCTGAATCAAAACATATCGGTTTGAACAAATGTTAGATAATTTGATGGAATAAATTGCTTTTCTTTTTTAACTAGCAGTTTACCCGTACTACTAACCTTAAGATATGTTTTTACAAATTAATTTTTAGATACAAATTAGTTATTTTGTGCAAATAATTTATTATATTTAAATAATTATCAATAAAAATCATGCTAGCAGAAATAAAATTAATATAAATTAAAAATGAAAGTTAGGATTGTTTATAAATGTATATAAACACATGATTGATTATACATTATTAATCGTACTACACTTCTTTATACACCACATTTATAGATATCACTGTCGTTGAGTTGTTTGTCAGAATTCACTAACAATTTTGTATTGACACACGATGGATACTTTGGAATTGTTTGCCCCTAATCTTTATTAACTGTCATCGCGAAACCTAATCAAATTTGAAATTGTTTTCTCTTCAGCTTGAATGAGAATATATCATCTTCAGACAGACATAGATGAATCATTGGAAAAAAAAATACCATATTTCTATCATGCTGACCAACACAATCGGGTGTCGTTACACAATCCATTTGATGGGTCTAGATTCTGTAACATTATTATCGGGCATCTGTAGAAGCAAAATTGTAAAAGTCGAATATTATGTTTTGTATTGTTTCGCATTTTATGTTATTTTACTAAGTGATATTTTGTGCGAAGTGTAATGTTTAGAGTATTTTTTGTACACTCATGTTCCCTATAATAGAGACTGAGGTTAGAAGTAGAGGAGAACTATTTTGTTAACGCAAATATCCTTTCTGCTTATTCTGTAATCAGTTTTCATCAATATGAGATCTGATTAATATTTACTCTTCGTGTTATAATTCTTAGATTACTAAAATCATACTTTGTTTTCTTAAATCTCGATAACAATTCTCATCAGCATCCAATTTTATGTTGTAGGTAATGAGGGGGTAAACCACTAACACTGGGTGTGTTCAAGAATTCCACATGATAGATTAGTTAATAGTTTCATTCCGAAGATTAGTTATTTTTTTCCGAATGATGGATACTTTGCTTTTGACCTCTTTAGGCCACCTTTTTCTTATACCGGTCTTTTTTTCTTACTCATTTTTTTCGAACCGGTCTCGTTCTAGACCAATATGGTTAAGCGATCTTTTTCGTTCTCTCCACAGTAATACTCAATAGGTCATATCTATGATCAACACATTTCTCTACATTTCTCTCAAATTGGTCCGATCCAAGAACCGGTTCCAATCCGGTACGATCGGTCCGGACCAAATACTCAACCCTAGTTTTGAGCGTACTGTCACATTTCCTTATATCTAATATTGTTAATGTATAATGTTATGAATAAAAAATACACATAAAATTTTGTTTTTGTTATATATACTTGTAGAATGAAACTTGGAATTGTTATATTTAGATCAAGATATTACTTTCGTCGCATAATAAAAGTTATATTTTTATCATATCTAAGTTTTCAAATGCATGTATTTTATAATCGTTTCAGTTCTCTACAACACTCATACTTTTAAAAAATTATTTCGCCAAACACCTTTCCCAAACGTTTGTAAACCAAAAACCCTTTCAAATTACTTTTTTTTGCAAACTTCTGCAAAATCCCACTGAAAAACAGAACCTATAACATATATTTATTCAAGTAGTCAAAACCTAAAAATAAATTCAAGTACTTATCACAATTCCATGTTTGTTGTTAAGAAAAGGTTGACACTCAAATTCAACCTGTTCATCCAAACATTCATCATCCAAACATTCAGCCTCTACTTCCATTTCTAGCATGGCTTCATCATATGCTCTAATAAAGTTGTTGAATATACCAAACACTTGTAACGCTATATAATCGGATAGATATAAAGGTATGTAGAACACTTATTGTGAAAATCCTAATACTCTTCTTCTTTTGTGTGACTTTGAACTGATAGAGATTATATCAGATTTTCTTATCAAATTTTGAGTCTAAAGGTAACCTAACAAACCATGATTGAATTTTGGCAATGCCTTAATAGCAAATTAAAAGTCATAAGCAATATTTTTAACATGAGTAAACGACCAACACAATAAAACCATAATTTTAACAATTGTTTAGAATAAAATCTTCTTTGAGACATTTTAACAAACATATAATGGCATTCATTCAAAATGAAAAAAAAGAAGAAAACCCAAGCATAAAATGAAACTAAAAAAAGCTATAGCTTCAGCAAATTTAAGGATTTGATCAGATACTCGAACTTCAAGCAAACCCATATTAAGATATTATTAAATTAACCATTCGAATTTAATAGAAGTCATATCCAAACCTGAATTAATGTCCCGATCCATAAGCAAAATTTTGATCCATATATTGGTTGCACCAACTGGAATAGAGACATAATCATCACCGGTGCCGATGTTGGAGTGAAAAATGGGTAATTAGAAAGAAAGACATGAATTCATCTCACTGCAATGGGAATTAAAAACAAAGCTTTATAGACCGAACCTTGTATGGACATCAACAGAAAATCCGAAATCAAAGTTAATCTTCGTATCGATTTTGGTAGAAAATCTAGAATAAAAATATGAAACTCAAAAATTGAACAACAAAATTAGACAATCGATGAATAAATGAAATCATGAAAGAACATGATTGTACTTATATCACTTATTAATTAGAATGGTTAGTTAAAACCCTAAAGCAGAGCGGAGTGCTGCTTGATGATGTTTGAGATTAGGGTTTCCAAAGCAGAGAAGTGAAAGGCGCACAAGAAAAATTTTAAGCGAGATCGGAGGATATCCGATTTTTAGTATAGACTAAATAGTGGTCTATTTATGTCCAGTTGAGTTGTATACCAAGCTTAATATTTATTTTTTAGAATTGATTTCCATAATCATCTCCTCAATTCATGGTGTTCGTTGTATTTGGTAAAGATTAATAGTTTTGATTTTCTCCAAATAAAGATTAGTGGTATTTGCATTAAATTATGGTACTTGTTGTTGTAAAGATTGTACCTCTTAAAATTTTCAAGAAATGTTTAATATGCTTAATAATATAGTAAAGATAAAGATATTGATTTATCTTGTTTTTGTAGATTGTTGCTTAGTTGTTGAAAACTCTAGAATTCAAAGCCACATAACATGTCTAATGTGACGTTATTTAGAAATACAACTTCTAGCAAGTGGTCGTTTTTCAACGTGTCATTACAGAGATAGACGTAGAAATACATAGTAGGTGTTATTCGGATGAATAAGTATTACCGATACATGAAAAATAGGTAAAAAAATCGAAAATTTGTCCACTGCGGCCAGAAAAGTTAGGGGTTGCCGGTGTCAAATAGTGAACCCCTTAAAACCATCCATGCGTGTCAATCAATTGGAAAAGATTATTTTTTGGGATGTAGTTACCGGTTTTTAGGGTCGGCCCAAGGGTAGGGTGACCTGGGTAGAATGAGGGCATCAATCTTCGAATATTCGTAAGGATGTATTATTATTTTGGACGCTAAGTTTGATCCGGTTTGCGTATGAAAAAAGAAGCAATAGTGAGACAAAAAAAACACAGCCGCACACAAAGAAAAGGAAGAGACAGGGAGAAAATGAGGAGACGGGATACCGAGACACATCACAGCAAGTAGTGACGATAACAATTGTATATATTTACTTGTCTCCTACTCCCAACAACCGAACATCCTTATGATTTTAATTTCTATCGATTTATTTTTTCTGAAACTTTTTGGTTCTTCTGATGTTTTTTATTTCTTCTTTTCTTTATTGAATGAAAGTCACCAAGGTTTTCTGATTCTTTCTTTCATTCGTGGACTGAGATTTGAGGTTGCACCAATCTTAGAGAACAAAAAAGTCAAATTACAATTCCTTCTTCTTGTATCTTTGTTTCCAACTTATGTCAGGAGGTTTATGTATTTTGGAAGGTTTTCTAAGTTAGGGGTATTGTGGGAATTTTTGTGGTTTATAATGAAATTTGCATCT